AAAACACTACAATCAAAATACAGGGTGACATAATGGATAAAAAAACAAGATTCATTTCTATGCTTCCTACAAGAGACTCATTTTAGACATAAACACACCTGCAAATTAAAAGTGAGAAGGTGGAGAAGCATTTATCATGCAAAAGGACATCAAAAGAAAGCTGGAGAGGCAATACTTGTATCAGACAAATTAGACTTAAAAAAAGATTCTAGGACACCTGGGTGGCTCAGTAGTTTAAGTGTCCGACACTTGATTCCAGCTCATGTTCTCAGATTTGTGAGATTGAGCCCCATGTCAGGCTTCATGTTTAGCACAGTCTGCTTGAGATTCTCTCCCTCTCCCTTCCTAAATAAATAAATTAAATCTTTAAAAATAAAAATAAAAAAAGATTCTAACAAGAGACAAAGGAGGACACTATATAATAATAACAGGGATAACCCAACAAGAAGATATAACAATTGTAAATATTTATGCATCTAACATGGAAGTGCCCAAATACATTAAACAATAACAAACATAAACGTACTAATTGATAGTAATACAGTAATATTAGGGGATGTTAACACCCACTTAAATCAATGGACAGATCATCTAAATAGAAAATCAACAAGCAAACAATGGTTTTGAATGACATACTACCAGATGGATATAACAGATATATTTAAATCATTCCATCATCAAACAGCAGGATACACATTCTTTTAAGTGCACATGGAACATTCCCCAGAATAGTTCACATATTAAGCCACAAAACAAACCTCAACAAATTAAAAAAGATCGAAATTATACCATGCATCTTTTCTGACCACAACACTATGAAACCAGAAGTCAACCCAAGAAAAAAATCTGAAAGACCACAAGTACATGGAGGTTAAATAACATGGACCCACAACTCTATGGTCAACTAATCTTCTACAAAGCAGGAAAAAATATACAGTGGAAAAAAGACAGTCTCTTCAATAAATGGTGATGGGAAAATTGGACAGCTATGTATAGAAGAATGAAACTTGACCATTTTCTTACACCATACACAAAAATAAACTCAAAATGGATAAAAGACATCAACGTGAGGCAGGAATCTATCAAAATCCTAGAGGAAAACATAGGCAGTAACCTCTTCGACATCAGCCACAGCAACTTCTTCAAGACATGTCTCCAAAGGCAAAGGAAACAAAAGCAAAAATGAACTTTGGGGACTTCATCAAGATCAAAACCTTCTGCACAGCAAAGGAAAGAGTCAACAAAACAAAGAGGCCACCCATGGAATGGGAGAAGATATTTGCAAATGACACTACAGACAAAGGGCTGACATCCAGATCTATAAAGAACTCCTCAAACTCAACACACACAAAACAGATAATCATGTAAAAAAAAAATGGGCAGAAGACATGAACAGACACTTCTCCAAAGAAGACATACAAATGGCTAACAGACACATGAAAAAATGTTCATCATCCTTAGCCATCAGGGAGATTCAAATCAGAACCACATTGAGATACCACCTTACACCAGTTAGAATGGTAAACAACAAGTGTTGGAGAGGATGTGGAGAAAGGAGAATCCTCCTACACTCTTGGTGGGAATGCAAGTTGGTGTAGCCACTTTGGAAAACAGTGTGGAGACTCCTTAAGAAATTAAAAATAGAGCTACCCTATGATGCTGCAATTGCACTACTCGGTATTTGCCCCAAGGATACAGATGTGGTGAAAAGAAGGGCCATCTGTACCTGAATAGCAGCAATGGCCACAGTGGCCAAAGTGTGGAAAGAGCCAAGATGCCCTTCAACAGACGAATGGGTAAAGAAGATATGATACATATATACAATGGAATATTATGCCTCCATCAGAAATGATGAATACCCAACTTTTGTATCAATATGAATTAGACTGGAGGAGATTATGCTGAGTGAAATAAGTCAAGCAGAGAGAGTCAATTATTCAATTATCATATGGTTTCACTTACTTGTGGAGCATAATAAGGAATAACATGCAGGACATTGGGTGAAGGAGAGCAGTAGTGAGTTGGGGGATACTGGAGGGGGAGATGAACCATAAGAGACTGTGGACTCTGAGAAACAAAGTGAGGGTTTTGGAGGGGAGGAGAGTAGGGGGTTGGGTGAGCCTGGTGGTGGGTATTTAAGGAGGGTGTGTATTGCATGGAGCACTGGGTGTGGTACATAAAGAATGAATCTTGGAACACTGAAAACAAAATTAAATTAAATAGAACATGCTACTAAACAATGAATGGGTCAACTAGTTAACTAGGAAGCAAAATAAGAAATTAAAAAGTACACAGAAACAAATGAAAATGAAAACACAATGGTTTAGAGCCTTTGGGATGCAGAAAAAGTGGTTCTAAGAGGGAAGCTTATAGTAACACAGGCCTACTTCAAGAAGCAAGAAAAGTCTCAAAAAAACAACCTAACCTTACACCTAAAGGAGCTAGAAAAAAAGAAAAAGCCTAAAACTAGCAAAAGGAAGGAAATAATGAGGATCAGAACAGAAATAAATGATATAGAAACTTAAAAATATAGTAGAACAGATCAAAAAACCAGGAGCTGATTCTTTGAAAAAATTAATAAAATTGATAAGTCTCTAGCCAGACTTATAAAGAAAAAAGAGGAAGGACTCAAATAAATGAAATTACAAATGAGAGAGGGAAAAATAACAACCAACACCACAGAAATACAAATAATTATAAAAGAATATTATGAAAAACAACAAATTGGATAATCTAGAAGAAATAAAATTCCTAAAAACATGTAGTCTATGAAAACTGAAACAGGAAGAAATACAATATTTGAACAGACCAATTACCAGCAAAGAAACTGAATCATTAATCAAAAAACTCCCAAAAAAACAGAAGTCCAGATGGCTTCACAGGTGAATTTTATCAAACATTTAAAGAAGAACTAATACCTACTCTTCTCAAATTATTCCAGAAAATAGAAAAGGAAGGAAAACTTCCAAATTCACACTATGAGGCCAGCATACCCTGATACCAAAATCAAATAAAGACACCACAAAAAAAAAAAAAAAAAAAAAAGAGTACAGGCCAATATCTTTGATAAACATAGGTGCAAAAATATTCAAAAAAATACCAGCAAACTGAATCCAACAATACATTAAAAAAATCATTTACCACAATCAAGTGGGATTTATTATTGGGTTGCAAGGGTGGTTCAATATTTGCAAATCAATGTGATGCATCACAGCAATGAGAAAAGATAAGAACTATATGATCATTTCAATAGATGCAGAAAAAAGCTCATATATATGAGAATACTAGCCAACCATAAAAAAGAATGATATCTTGCCATTTATAATGACAGGGCTAGAGCCACAGAGTATAATTCTATGCAAAATAAATCAGTCAGAGAAAGACAAATATCATATGATTTCACTCGTATGGAATTTAAGAAACAAAACAAAGGAGCAAAGGAAAAAAGTAGAGAGAGAGATATGAACTAAGAAACATTCTTTTTTAAAAAATTTTATTTAATTTTTTCAAGTTTCTAAAATTCATTGTTTATGTACCACACCCAGTGCTCCACACAATATGTGCCCTCCTTAATAGAAACAGACTCTTAACTACAGAGAACAAACTGATGGTTCCTAGTGGAGAGGTGGATGGTGGGATGGATTAATAGGTGATGGGGATTAAGGAGAACACTTGTCATGATGAGCACCAGGAAAAGTATGGCATCATTGAATCACTATCACTATATTGTATACTTGAAACTAATAGAACACTGTATGTTAACTAACTGGAATTAAAATTAATACTTTAAAAAATTATGGGGCACCTGGGTGGTTCAGTTGGTTAAGTATCCAACTCATGATTTTGGCTCAGGTCATGATCTGATGAATTGTGGGACTGAGTTCCACTTTGGGACCTGTAGTCAGTGGGGAATCTGCTTGAGATTCTCTCCCTCTGCCCCTCTCCCCACTCATGCTCACACTCTCTCTCAAATAAATGTCTTTTTAAAAAACTTAAAACAATTTATTAATTATAAGGTATAAATATCACTAAATATACACAGAACTTATATACTGAAAATTAAACAATGGTTATAAGAAAAATCAGAGATCTAAATAAATGAAGAGATATACTATATTCATGGATTCAAAGATTCAATATAGTAAAGATGTCAAGTTTCCCCAAATTGATATATAGGTTTAGTGCAATTTTATCAAAATCTAAGCGACATTTTTTTTAGGTATACAGAAGATTATTCTAAACTTTATATGGAAAGGCAAAGGAATGAGAATAGTTAACACATTTTTGAAAGATAAGAATAAAGTGGAAGGAATTAGTTTACCTGATTCTAGACTTATTATAAAGCTACAAAAATCAAGACTGTATACTACTGGCAGAGGGACAGACACAACAGATTAATAGGACAGAAAAGAGAAACCAGAAATAAGCCCACACAAATATGCCTAACTGATTTTTTAAAATATTTTATTTATTTGAGAGAGAGAGGGAGCATGTGTATGCAAGCTGGGAAAGGTGCAGAGAGAGGGGCAAGCAGACTCTGCACTCAGTGAAGAGTCTGACAAGGGGCTCAGTCCCATGACCCCAAGATCAAGACCTGAGCTGAAATAGTCACACACCCAACTGACTGAACCACTCAGGCACCCTCCCTAACTGATTTTTGATATAGGTGCAATTCAGTGGAAGAAACACAGCCTTTACAACTGTACATCTATAGAGAAGTGGGGGAAGGAACATCAATCTAAGTCTCACACCATTGAGGAAAACTAGGTAAAGGATTTATGGGATCTTTCTCTCCTATTTCTTAAAATTGCACATAAATCTACAATTATATCATAATAGAAAGTTTAATTTAAAAAAATTTTAAAGAATTTAGGCAATTCAGTTCCTTGTGATTGCTTTGTATAGATGACTAGAGAAGTCTGGAAGGATAGTCAGCTCAACATTTAAAAAAAGGAAGAATTCAGTGTTTATGATTCAAACCTTGCAGAATCAGCTCTTACCTGCAGCAAAGCTCCCATTAGTGATGCCAACGCAGCCATTCCAATGCAGAGAACTCCAAACAGCACACCTAGATGGAGGACATAAAAGCCAGTGTAAACAATGGATACTATGCAGCCATCAAAAGAAATGAAATCTTGCCATTTGCGATGACGTGGATGGAACTAGAGGGTATCATGCTTAGCGAAATAAGTCAATCGGAGAAAGACAACTATCATATGATCTCCCTGATATGAGGAAGTGGAGATGCCACATGGGGGGTTAAGGGGGTAGGAGAAGAATAAATGAAACAAGATGGGATTGGGAGGGAGACAAACCATAAGTGACTCTTAATCTCACAAAACAAACTGAGGGTTGCTGGGGGGAGGGGGGAGGGAGAGCGGGGTAGGGTTATGGACATTGGGGAGGGTATGTGCTATGGTGAGTGCTGTGAAGTGTGTAAACCTGGCGATTCACAGACCTGTACCCCTGGGGATAAAAGTACATTATATGTTTATAAAAAATTTAAAAATTTAAAAAAAAATCCAAAAAAAAAAAAAAGCCAGTGTAAAATTCAGACCGAGAGGATTAGAATTCTCAAAAGAACAAGCTACCTTGTCTTTGATTCAACGTAATTGATATGATTGTGGTGAAAATTGGCCACATATATCAGAGCCAGCCAAAAAAAGGGAAGGGGTGTTTTCCTACAGGATCAGCAGTGTGCAAAGGGGAAAGAAAACTCTGATATTGTGTACCAGGATTAGTGACATTAGGTTATATAAGTAAAAAAATCCCTAGCATTAACCATAGAGACTTTTAAGCTAAGAACTATTGTGTTATTAATCTAATCCTCCATAAACATTTGTTTTATAAAGGAAGGCTCAGGTCTCTGTTTCCAGTTTGCCAGAAACAGGACACAATCTGTATGACATGATGGGGGAGGGGAGTAATAAACATGAGAAATTAGAGTTGTCTGATCTGAAGTGTTCATTTCTTCTGGGAAGTGACAATCCACACCAAGGGATGGTTTAGGACCTTTAGCCCTCTTGTAATCTCCAACAACATCACTAAGCCTTTCCTGTTAAACTAGCAAAGAAAGATAGTATCAAGTCTGATGTTACCCATTCTACCAACTTGTTTTCCCAAACTTTATAGGAATTCTCAAGCCACCACTGTTGGTCAGATTATAATTATAGGGTTTTTTTCCCTTTGGTTTTTATACATTCCAGATTTTCTCCAAATACATGTTTTACTTTTTTTTTTTAAATATTATATTTATGAGTGCTGTGAAGTATGTAAACCTGGCGATTCACAGACTTGTACCCCTGGGGCTAATAATACATTATATGTTTATAAAAATTTTTAAAAATTAATTTAAAAAATTTTAAAAAGATTTTATTTATCAGACAGAGATCACAAGTAGGCAGAGACGCAAGCAGAGAGAGAGAGGAGGAAGCAGGCTCCCCGCAGAGCAGAGAGCCGGATGTGGGGCCCAATCCCAGGACTCTGGGATCATGACCTGAGCCGAAGGCAGAGGCTTTAACCCACTGAGCCACCCAGGCGCCCCTACTTTTTAAATTATAAGAAAATTTACACACATGCCCCCAGATTTTTATTTTTGAATATTTTCATTTAGCACAAATCACCTGGAATCAGTCAATATAATTTCCCACACAAAAAATCAAAACACAAAAAGAGGAATAACTTTGCTCATTATAAAATCAGTGCATTCATTACATATAATTTACACTAGAAGTCACCTCTTTGTTAAGTATATTGGGTAAATAACCTTATTGCACCTGAATGGAAAACTCATATTAATTTTTTACATAGAGTTCATGTCACAGTGATTTTTTTAAGCCTCCAAATCCTAGTGTAAATAGTATTTCCAATATATTTAGTTTGATTCTTCTATATCTGATAGCTCATGAATGGTCACCCCTATGGGGTTTTGGTATTCAAAGTTAATGGAAACACATACAAATTACTTTCCATGTTCTTCTCTATGATGTCCTTACTGTTCATACCTCAAGATAATGACTTTATATAATTCTTCAAAGTCAATGAAAACCTCATCTACACTAGCAGAGTTGATTTGTTATTAATTACCATCAACATCCTTCCTTGAGCACCAGCTAGTGCTTCTTATTTTATACGCATTATCTCTAAACCTCATAGAACGTGCAAGATTAATACTTTTGCAACATTTTTCATACAAAAAAATTCAAGCTGTATTGAGTTATTGGGTTTGCTTGAGGCTAACAAATTGGTAAAGCAAGACTGGGTCTGTCTGGCTTCAAAAGTTTCTATTTAAAAGCATATAGCTTCAATAATCCTATAATGAACCAATCTAAATACTCTTTAGGAAGCATTGTGTCATTCTGAAATTATGCTCCAGGATGAAAATTAGGCACATAATAAGATGATGCAATGTTATTTAAATTTAAGGGACACCAAAGAATATAAATTAAGTATTTATTCCAGGCTATAGTCAGGATGATTACATATAGAGTTATGGTTCAAAACAGAATATTATTTACTATTTCTTTGACAGTCTATTAGTGTTACTCAGTTGAAGTTAAATATTCTTTTTAAAAACAAGTTTGTTATTTATTCTAGAATACATATAACTAAAATGTCAAACACAAAGAATGAAGTACAGTAACCAGATTCCTTTGAGTCCAATTGGTACATTTGGGACATCTGGGAACTGGGGTCTTTAAACCTTTCCATGCAACTGATATTTAACCCCTAATAAGGTCCTATAATCTATCAATAGAAGTTGAACATTCCTTGTACAATATAATTGACTATCTCCAGGGCAGTCTGCATGTACAGATAGGATAGACAACCAAGATGGGTAAAAAATCCTAATATTTTGTTTCTTTATCTTCAATTCATACACACAGACTATTTACTTTATGTGTATGAATTGTGTATGAATTACTTTGGGGGGTTAGGTTTTCTTTTTTTATTTAAAATCCATTAGCTGACATATAGCACCTCATTAATTTCAGATGTAATGTTCGATAATTTATCAGTTGCGTACACCAGTGTTCTGTACTTTAAGCTGATGGTGCCCTCTTATGTAATAAAGAAGAAAAATGTGGTTCTTGGCTCCAAACTAAGGCTATTTCTTAAAACTGTTGACTAAAGTTTGGAAAGGAAAAGGGTTGAATTTTTTCTGTGGCTAAGAATTTTAACATAGATTTGGGATAGGAAGAAGTGAAAAAAGGAGGATAGCCAAATAAGGACCCTGAAAAGATGCTCAACATCACTCATCATCAGGTAAACAAATCAAAACCACAATGAGATATCACCTCACACCTGTCAGAATGGCTAAAATCAACAACAAAAGAAACAGGTGTTGGCAAAGATATGGAGAAAGGCAAACCCTCCTGCACTTGTGGTGGGAAAGCAAACTGGTGCAGTCGCTGTGGAAAAGAGTATGGAGATTCCTCAAAAGGTTAAAAATAGAACTACCCTATGATCCAGTAATTGCAGTACTAGATCTTTACCTGAAAAATAGAAAAATGCTGATTTGAAGGGATACATGCACCCCAATGTTTATAGCACCATTGTCTATAATAGCTAAATTATGGAAACAGCTTAAGTGTCCATCAGCTGATGAATGGATAAAGACAATATGGTATACATACACAATATTAGCATAAAGAATGAAATCTTGCCATTTATAATGACATAGATGGAGCTAGAGTATATAACGATAAGTGAAATAAGTCAGTCAGAGAAAGACAAATACCGTATGACTTCACTCATATGTGGAATTTAACAACACAACAAACAAGCACAGAGGGGGAAAAAGAGGGAGGCAAATCAAGAAACAGACTCTTAACACAGAGAACAAGCTGATGGTTACCAGAAGGGAGTTGGGTAGAGGGATGCATGAAATAGGTGATGGAGATTAAGGACTGTGCTTGTCATGATGAGCACTGGGTGTTGTATGGAAGTGTTGAATCACTGAAGCTAATATTACACTGTATGTTAATTAACTGGAATTTAAGTTAAAACTAAAAAAAAAAAAAAATAAGGACCCCTGGATATTGTTCTTCGTGGTCCCCTGACAATTAATTGCTTGAAGTGTCTCTCAAATCTTGATTGCAAATACAGCATGACTACATTTAGTCATAGGCATGCATATGTATATATACATTAACACTCATAGGTTCTTACTCTATATCTTCCATGGAAAAGATTTCTGGTATTTCTTTTTTTCTTTCTAAATATTTTATTTATTTATTTATTTATTTGAGAGAGAGAGAGAACGAGCGTGAGAGGGGAGAAAGTCAGAGGGAGAAGCAGACTTCCCAGGGAGCTGGGAGCCCAATGCAGAACTCAATCCCAGAACTCCAGGATCACAACCCGAGCAGAAGGCAGTTGCTTAACCAACTGAGCTGCCCAGGTGCCCAAGATTTCTGGTATTTCTAAAAATCATCTCCTCAAGGTAAAATGGGATCGTGAAAATGGAAACTCACTCATTCCTTGGGAAATCCAAGAGAGAGACCTTTCTGAGAGCGATCTGAAGTGAGGTTTAATTAGATCTTCCACAGTTACTGCTGCTAAAGCATTAATACTGGAGGATACTGTGCTGTAAGAGAAAAATCAATCTTTTGATTTATAATATTTTAACTTTGTTAGTACTTTAAGTAGGAATAAGAAAGGGGAACCAAACTGTCAATATAACCAGATTTCTACTATATTTTTAATGATTACAACACCCTCTTTCTGGAAGCTGCTATCATCCAAGAATGATTCAGGCAACATCCAAAGGGTTGATAGTGAGGAGAAGAATTTTATGTTGCTTCCACTTTGCAATAAATCCTTAGCGTCTATGGAGAGAATTTACACAGACTACATAGTACTACTATGTAATGACTTTAAAATATATTCCTTTTTGTGCATAGAAAGGACTGTCATAAATCCTTAGAAACATATGCCATAAATATCAATACTATTAATTTCCTGGATCCTCACTAACAAACACTGTACATGTTAATAATAAGAATTCATTCCCTGGCACAAATACTGGAAAAAAGTACAATGAGTAAGTTGAAAGGCAGGACAAGATTCTTTGGACAGCGTATATTATTCAGCATGTAATAGGAGATTTAATTCTAATTTTCCATTTGACCATGTTTAGATATACATACAGTTTAAACTAAGACTGTAGGCATCCCTTTTTGATAATCAGTGAAAACTACCATCAATTGATCATTTTTATGATGACCTTACATAGTATGTGATGATGTATTACAGTAGAGCCCAAGTTAAAAGTAGAGACTGAGGCGAATAGATTGATAGTTCACATGAATAAGAGTGAGACCAACAGAGAAGATACATGGAGTAAATTACCCACTTTGGGACACTGGTGCTCATATACAGAATTCAGCTTTATCCCCCAAAATATCCAATAACAAAAGAAAGATCCCAAAAGGAAAACCATGTATTAATAGAGTCATAGTTTATACCTTAATGTTCCACTATAAGCACAGGCCACAAAAAGTCCAGGAAGTCCCGGAAAATCTTGCAGAATGTCCAGTACCAAATAAGGCATGAGCTGAAAAATTCCAAAATTTACCTCTGAGTGCTATTTGCTATCAAATAAAATTAATGCCTCATTTATCTTGTGCTCTTCAACAACTAAAGGAATCTATTCCATATAGTTGAAATTTCTAAATATGAAAAATTAAACTCGTTTATTGCTAATACTTAAAATAATAGCAGAGTAGTTAAGAACACAGGGTCTGGATTCAGACAGAAGTGGTCTTTGTTACTTCTCTAAGACTTAGTTTCTTCATCTGTAAAGCAGGGGTACTAAAACTAACCTCACAGACTTGTTATAAAAGTTAAATTATATCATCTATGTAAAGCTCTTAGTATAGTACATGGAATACAGTAAATGCTTGATAAAAGGTAGCTGTTCTCACTCTTTGGAATAATAAATCAATTTAAAGGAAATATTTTACATACCTCTATGCTTAAGTAATAAGCAGCATTCATTTAACTTTACAGATGACTCAAAGATCTTTGTGAACTTTAATCACTCTCCAGGACTGAAAGTGTAATTATAGCTGTATATAGTATGAGACATAGTGACAAGTAGAGAGTAAGCTCAGGAAGTTCCTGAAATTTGCTTCTTTTTATAAAGGTCCTGATAGCACAGTCTCTCATGGTGAGGGTTTGAAAGGGGCGGGGGTTGGGAGGTTAGGTGAACTTGGTGGTGGGTTTTAAGGAGGGCACGTATTGCATGGAGCACTGTGTGTGGTGCATAAACAATGAATCTTGGAACACTGAAAGAATACAATACAATACAGTACAATACAATACAACAAAACAAAACTATTAGCCCTATTTCAATAAAAAAAAAGTTCCTGATACCAACTTACTTTCTGGTAAGTTACTTTTTAAAAGATAATATTAAATAAGGATGGGAAGGTTTATTACTTCAGTACTATGTCACATGATAGTCTTCTGGCAAAACTGATTTTTAAATTAAAAGGATCCTAAGAGGATAATATTCTAGGAGAATTCCCCTCACTTGCACTGAAACATTCTCAAGTCCTTCTCCAATAGTAAAGAGTGGATGTCATGTCCTATCTCATCAGCCTTTTCTGATTTCATTTGACAAAGTTTGTTACAGTATGTGGACAAACAAGCTCCAATGTTACAAGGGTCAGTGTTCAATCATTTTAAGAATGTTTCTACTTCATCCAAAGCTTACTAATTATTTAGTCTCAGAGAGAGCAGAAGTTATCTCTATATGAAATCAAGATCCAGTGTTCCCAAGATATCTTAAAAGTGTAACTTCAAGCAGTATTCCATACTTAAACATTAAATTTCCATTGTTACTGTGATAACAAGACCTAAAATCCTCTACCCTAATATCAATTTTCTCAAAAGTCCTCGGGGGTGATATTTCATATCCGACTGGCCCCCTCAGGTATAGGTCTAGCAAGGTAAGACTGACAGATAGAAAAATAGTAAAACTCTATCTAGACACTAATCTTTCTTCCTCAGGGTAAGCTCCAGCAGAGTGTCACAGAAATACATCTTTGCTCTCCTTGGGTTAAGATTCTGACCTGACTTTCTACTACTGGGCCTTACGTGCATTGTATCCCTAGGGAAATGTTAATTGCATTAACTCCTCAATAATCAATACAATACCAGAATCATCCAATCAAGAGGAAACTTTCTTTTTCTTTTTTTTTTCTTTTAAGATTTTATTTATTTATTTGACAGAGACAGCTAGAGAGGAAACACAAGCAGCGGGTAGAGAAGGAGAAGTAGGTTTCCAGCTGAGCAGGGAACCCTCCCTATGCGGGGCTTGATCCCAGGACGCTGGGATCATGACCTGAGTCAAAGGCAGAAGCTTGACAACTGAGCCACTCATGTGCCCGGAAACCTCTTTCTTTTTAAAAAATTCAGTAGGGGGCACCTGGGTGGCTCAGTGGATTAAAGCCTCTGCCTTTTTGGCTCAGGTCATGATCCCAGGGTCCTGGGATTGAGCACCGCATCGCATCCGGCTCTCTGCTCAGCAGGGAGCCTGCTTCCTCCTCTCTCTCTCTGCCTGCCTCTCTGCCTACTTGTGATCTCTGTCGAGTAAATAAATAAAATCTTAAAAAAAAAAAATTCAGTACAGGCTCTTTAAAAGTGGATGCATGCAAGACACCCCTGAATGCATTCTAAGGCAAGGAGTCTCAAGGGTAGGAAGGTATAGATACTTTTTGTTGTTGTCATCTAGGGTTAGGGGAAGATAGATGAGAAACATTTTTAACATCCCTATTATCTTCATGATATAAACTACAGACAAAACATTCTTCACTAGAGAGCATACGAGGGAAGAGTGCATCTACCTTCAAAGTAAACATGATTCTTAGATTCTCTGAGCAAATAGGAGAGATCTATTTATTCACAGGAGGACACATGTGAACATAGGGTTGAGACGCACAGCTCAAGGAGGTTCTCATTTTCTAGTCCCACAAAACTGCATTATTTTTCTAGGAGTATGTGATGCATTTATATCAAGACAAAATTCAGTCTATCTTCAATCTAATGAGTCTTCTGGGCACTTGATTTACAAGCAAGTCTTAGAACAAATTTTGGCAAGAACCCAAGCTTCAGAGTCTAGTGGTCCTGGGCTTGAATTCTAGCTACACTTTCTGAAAGGTGGTATACCGCATCGGGGTTCAAAGTTAGGACTCTGGTGGCAGCCTGCCTGCACTTGAATTCTGGTTCCAGGTTTACTAGCTATTACATAGCTTGTCTGTGCCTCAGTTTCCTCATCTTTGAAAGGGATATAATCAGAGCACCTATCTCAGTGTGTAGCTTTAAGGATTCAAAGTTGAAGTTTATAGAAAGCACTTATGACAGGATGATGAATTCTTGAGGCTATACTTATTTATCAGCCCTATGACCTTGAGCAAGTAATATAACCTCTCTGTGAGTCACTCATTTCCTCATCTCTAGATTTAGAATTACTGGGTTATGAGAATTAAAAGAGATAAAGCACGCAATGCTCTAGGCACATTCTCTCACTGGTTGGTTGGTACTCTATAAATGTTCACTCATTAGATCTGTTTATCATTTAAGAACTGGAAGGTAAGCTGTTGATATAAAAGTGATCTGAGAATATTCACAAAATGCTTTACACCACCATGGTTTGTATATAGTTTTTCTTCTTTAACTGTATTTACATTTCTATTCCCAGTGTTGACCTAGTTCTCTTTAACACTTGGCTTGGAATTTTCTAGGTATTTCAATATTTTAATCTTGGATACAGCATTCTTCCTTCTTGCTATATATGCTAAAATAAATTTTTGCCAAATGCTTTCTAGAAATTAAAGATGATTATATTGTACTCATTTGCTCTTTCTCTATAAAAACATGAAAACTCTTTCCTCCCAAACTAATAAGCTTTCTGGATAACATTAATACACATGTAAGAAAGACATGGTACTAAACCTGGTCTGGTGCAGATACTTTCTTGGCTGTCCAAGGATCACAGTCATGGTACCTGGAATATAGGGCAAGCCCACATAACACTGAGCAGACAAGGATTGCCCAGAGTCCCAGAAGATTGATGTAGAGAGACCTAAGGAAATGAAAACAAACCAGCAAATGATAATTGTAATTTCATCCCAAAGATAGGAAACTTGTTACATACACAGAAGAGACCTTCATGATTATTCAATAAATGCACAGAATCTTTCGGTTATCAAAAATGCTATCTATTTTATTCTAGCCTAACCTTCTGCTTGTGCTGTCAATCAACAATGTATTTTGAAATACTTGGAATAGATGGGGGCTTCTCTACTGAATAGATGTGCGTATCCTTCTGGTGAGAGTTCCACGGGCATTATCAGCTTTATAATGATATCCAATTATACTACTTCAGGGCTTCCTGTCATGAAGTAAAGATTTTTAATGGTCAACAGAGCAGTAACTATTACTCATTTTTCCTTTTTAAAGTAATGGAGTTAAAAACTGCTAACCACTGTTAGCATCTACATAGAAACTCATTGAACTTGTTTGAATGTGGTTTGTAATATCACCTAGTAAGTATGAGAGGCAAACCTGCATTCCTTGAATAGGTATCTTCTCCAACAACGTTCAGCATCATAATACATGGTGCGTGCTCCAGGAGAACAGTACTGGAGTCAGACCTGAACATAAATCTTGGTTCTATCTACCATATATGACCCTGGGCAAGTCATTTAGCTTCTCTGATCTTCAGCTTCTTCCTTTATGCCTACAGATAATGATGCCTACCTTGCAGAGTTTTAACATTAGATGAAATAGTACGTATTCCATAGCACAGTGCTTGGCATGGAATAACATTTGTTAAATAGTAAATATTGACATTATGAGTGCTAATGGCACCGAATTCTATGCCTTAATAATCAAGTGAATAGTAAACATTGTTCTCACTATGGTGTCCTCATCTCTTTTCCCCAGTAGTGCTGTAGTGAATACTGCAAAACGTTGCCCTAGGTGGAAGAGAGGTACCGTCCTCAAAGTCATGCCTCCTTCCTTGGGGTACCTGTGTCCAGTGACTACTAGATTCAGAATTTTAAAGGATCAGTCTCCTTACCCTAACCTAGGACAAATCTGGAGTCAGTTCAGCATTAGGGCTTCCCCTAAGGCTTGGCTGAGAAACAGCATTACAATCCAACTTCTCTCTTTGGCCAATTCTGCTTCCTTCTCTTCTCTTTCTTCTACAGGTGGTGATTCCCCCACAGTCTCTGGTATGCCAACCTCCATTTCAGAATCTGTTTCAGGAGAATGCACCTTCAACAGGTACCAAACAACAGATTGCTAACCTTTTCCCTTGATTGACTAAATTTACTCTATGTTTTGCTATTGGCTAAAAATAGCCTAAGTAACTACAGCTCATCTCCAAATCACCAGAAAATATATCCAGACACTTTCCTGCTCACATAACCTTGTTCACAAAGGAGTCTAATACTTTACTATATAGTTTTATTTGACTTTAATACCACTCAAATAGATCACTTATCAATAATATCTGATACTCTCCGCAGTTGATCAATGTTAGTAGGTCTTACCTAACTTTTTGACTGGGATTCATTCTTCTCATGGAGCCACAGTTAAAAAGTAGGAGAAAATGGTTCCTCTCAGCTCAGGGAGTCAGCTGAGGGCCATTCCAAAGGAAATTCTTTCTTATTAAGAAATCTCTAAGCTCTAATGCTGGTCTCTTAGTTATAAAATTAGGCCTTTGAGTTTCATGTTCCCAAAGAAACAGAAGAGCATATGCATAATTAATTTTGGAGACGCATTAGCTCTAGTGTAGATTTAAAGTCCAGTGGATCGCTGGATGTATAAATTACATTCCTTCAAAGTTCCTTAAAATAACAGAACACTTAAGCTCACTTTTGGGGGATTCTATATCCAGTTATTGTGCTGATATTTGTGTAGATCTTTTACTTTTGAATTTTCCAAACACAGATAACGTCTAAACCTATTTACTCTCAATATATTGGGTTATGACATGTGACATCACAATATTTTCATGTTCTTTGAATAGAAATTTAATTGCCATTCCTTGTCCTACTCTAACCACCCAGTTACTCTTAATCTATTTATAACTTTTAAGGTCTTAAATGCAAGTGGCCCAGTCAGCTTTATCTATCAGCATGGGGAGCAGGGGTCACCGTACTGATCTGAGGCCTCCTGACAAAGAACCAGCCACCATTTATATTCTTTGCTCACCAAGACTGGACTGAGAATTCCCTGATCACGTCATCCTTCTGACCTCTGGGCTGTGTCCAAATAAATGTCTATATGGAATGCTCTCCCGCTATTCTCTACCTGCCCATATATGGTCATTATTCAGGATCCGCTTGGTTGACAGGAATCTCTCACCCAATCTCTGCCTTCATATCCTATGATTTGAGGTCACATTTACTGGACCACTACCAAGTGTGTGCCAGGCACATTTTACAATACCTCTCCTGAGATGTATAATATTTCTTATGCTCATTTTGTAAATTTGGAAACTGGCACTCAGGGAGACTAAGTAACTGGCCACTCAAATAGCAAGTATTAGAGCAGAGTTATAAACCCATGACTATGTCTGAAAATAAAATATACCAGCATATGTGGCAATATAATGCCCTTGACCATTTCTTCTATCATTATATTGTTCCAAAGAACTGTGATACCTTTCTAGGGTTATTTCGCTTTTTGCATACTTGTATATGTTTTCATAACTAGATGTTAAGTTCCTTCATTAGAAGAGCCATATAATTCTAATTTTTATCCTCCATAACTCCTTATACAAATAGATACACAATAAATGCCTACTTAGTTAATAGGATTTATTTTACTTAATAATTCATATAAATATTTCAAATGTCTGATTTAAAATACACTTGATTCTTTTATAACTAAGTATATAATTTATTTCTTGGAATTTCATGATACAAAAGGCTTAAACCTGAGCAAAGCTTGACTAATTAACAAGTTTCAATAAAGACACTGGTGGTTATTAATGATTTCCATACCAGAGTTTGGCTTACATTTTTGCCTGGAACCTGCTTTTACAGGAAATATATCTCTGTACTTGGGATTGGTTGACACCATAGATGCTGGTCCATGTGAAGGTCCCTCCTATAATAATTGTCCAGAATGTATGTCTTTGCAAAGGATTGGGATCAAAACTAAAAGAAAAGAAACAGAAAACAAATTTTAACCATAAGCAAAAAACTACAGAAAATCCTAGAATATTTTTTGGAAGCAAGCAATGTGTATCTATATAAATATGCACACAGATATAAACACATACAAATTTATTAAATAATAAAAAAGGGAAAAAATTCCTAACTTAAGTTCAATGAAATAAAAATGGATACTTTCAGAGAATTGGAAATTCTGGCTGGGACTGAAGGAAAACAAATGTTCTAATTATTCTGAGCTTTCATAAAAATTGTTCTCCAGTGGCCTTAGGAAATTGTTATTTAAATAAGTCTGCTGTGCTATAATCAGAGAAGAGCATGAAACTAAAAAGAGAGAGAGCAATAAAGAGAGTAAGGTTCCTAAGTGCACCATAGCAATAGATAGGGTACTGAAATGAACACAAAATTGACACATTTTGCATATATAATTTCTCTCCTAACACATGTATAGTCATATTTCTAATTTATATTCAAGCTCAAGAACTCAATTAATGCAGTTGAAAGGCTTTCATCTTCTAAAATTACCATGTCATTATAATCATACTTTCTTAAATGCTGTATGCACAAGCTAAATGTTAGTAGTGAAAAGTCACTAAATGACATGTACTTAAGTCCAAAATATTGTCACAAAAAAGCTCAACTTCTGTATTGAATATGTGTTTTAACTCTTCTTAATGAATTATCTTGGAAGGAATGATTCTGTTCATCCATGAAACACAATATAAGTTTGACAAATTTCTGCAAAATTGGCTTTCATAGAAACTTTCTAAAAATTATGAAATTCTGCAAATCCATTTCAATCTTATATTTAAGATGAGTTAAGTTTTCAGATTTCATGTATATCCCAGCATTCCTATGGAACTATAAGAGCCTCTACTCCATTCTCTAACACTTCATATCAAAGTTGTGTTTCAAGGGTGTTGACCCTTTAACCCACAGAGAAAACAGCTACTATATTAGCTAATGGAAGTCAAGAGCCAAAAGGTTTCAGGAATCTACTTGAAGGAAGTAAGACAAGATTTAGAATACCCAATTTAGTGGTTTTAGGCCATACAATATATGTATGACAACTATAACCATACAGACAATACCAACACAAAATCCTTCTCTTGTTTTATCACCACCAGAGCAGGTATTTTGCCCACCAATATTCTCAAACATATCAGACACACAAGAGATACACAATAAAGCTTTTCATTATTATTTAATAGTTGGCATCCTCCATAGCAAAGGTCATAAAACTGTCTAATATTTTACTTTAATAATCTCTTATTGGTGTATAAGTTGTCACTTCAATGAAGCAATATGGGTTGCCTTTGTACAAAGTGAGAGTTATCTTGCAGAAAAATTAATGATTCTACATCCTCTCCCCTCAGCCTCGCCTACTAGGAAATTTAGGAGTAAGCAAGATCTTCTGAGTGTCCATTAGTTGTTTCTGCTTCTCTGTATCTATTCTCTTGTCCTCTAGTAACAGCAAACCAATCTGCTTTGGGAAATGACCATTTCACCATAAAGTAGTCTAAATGGTTGTCAATAATATGTCCTGTTCTGCCACAGCTAAGGGATGGAATAATGCCCAGGCTAGGAAAACTGGAGGTGCTCTTCCTTTGAATCTCAGTCTTGAGGTTAAAAAGCAATTATTGAAAATAGTGGAAGTTGACTCATCATAATTCAACTTATCTCTGCAATTAACACATTGTCCTTGACCAATTTCTGAAAAGGCTCTTCTCAAACATTGGCACCATTTTCAGAAAACTAGAAGAGAGTCACCAAGTAAGAAATGTTTTTTGTTTCTTCTTGCCAGTGATTTCAGCTTGCCACTCTCAAAGTAGGACTGCTTGAAGAGGAAATAAGCCAGTCCATATGAAAATGAGCCCCTCCCCACATTGAACATAACAAGAATGACACTACTGATCCACACCAAAAGGTGTTTTAAATATTCCTCTAAGCTGTGTGGTATATTTGTGATGAAATATCTAGTTTCTCCACTGGTCTTTCTCTAGGAAAACTAAATAGCTGTTGAGGATATGCTATATTGTACAATATGACACTTGAGGCATTAGTAATAATTTTCTAGTCAATACTCTAGAAATAATATATAATAAAATATTTGTACATATATAATTATGAAATATAATAATAATATATACTGCCAGGGCAACATCAATAGAAAAATTCTCTAGGCTGTTCGAAACAAAGAACTGTCAGAATGACAGCATGATCCTTTAGTGTTTTTCTCTTAAGAGGTTTCCTTTTCTTATTTCTCCACTCCCTCTTCCCTAATTACACTACCCCACCCTTTGACCAATTCCAGATTTTAATATCTGGAAGAAAAATGCTCTTTTGCTATCAATCCTTTCTCAGAAGGAAGTTACATTCTATGTAACTAAGCAACCATCTGACTGCTTTAACCCATTAAAGACCTGGTAGAAACCCCTCACGCATTAACATACCAGCTTCAATTTTTCATACCATCTATTTGTTTTCTGATGTAAATCTATTTGTTTTCTGATGTAAATCTACTACTTCAATGATGAGATTATTTTTATAGGAAAGAAAAAAAACAAAGGAGTGTTCTATTTACCAGGAGATAAATAGCAACTTACTTCCAGAAGTTTAATCTTCCACCATTATAGCTATCATTTAGAATAGTGCTGATTCCACCTTGAATCACTACAGACTGTATAATCACAGATGAAAATCCAGCCACCATGATCCCAACTTGAAAAACATCTGTCCAGATAACTGCTTTAAGACCACCCTTTGAGGGAAAAAAATATTAGGATTAATGCTCTTATCAGACATCATTATCATCTACATGCTTATATATTATGCTGGACAAGAATAATGAAAACATAGATCTTGACCAAGGAATACACTTAAGGTAATAGACAGTAAGGTTGGGAGAACCTTCAAAAGAGGGTGTGATTTAAGCCAACCTTTCAGACAGAAGCAGAGGTGAAGATGGAAGGTCATCCCAGAAGAGAAAACAGCATGGACAAAAGCACAAAGAATTCAAAGTACATGACATGTTGAATGTGGCCAGAGTGAAACTGCAAAAGCAATGTCATAGATTTTATCCTATAGGCAGGGCTGATATTCAATCAAGTATGCACACAGAATGTCATGCCAGTTGTTGACATAGTAAAATTGTTTTGTACTAGCCACTGACACAAACTTCCCAGTGTCTCTCTCCAGTCCCTGTGTCCTTGGCTGAACTATCCCCTCCCTGAGATCCCCATCTTCTAAAAAAATCCACTAAAGTCTTAAGACCCATTATGTCAGATATGCCACAAGAGTTGCACCACTTCTAGAAATTAGCATCCATTATAACACCAGTGTCCATACTATCTGATTGTTAAATATTTTGACTGCGATTCCTGCCTTTAGGCTATGGGATACTATCTTACATTTCTTTTCTTTTCCTTTTTTAATCTAATTTTATTTTTTCAGTGTTCCAAGATTCATTGTTTATGCACCATACCCAGTGCTCCATGCAATATATCTTAGGTTTCTAAGCTGAGGAATAGTATGAACACAAATATAATAATTTAGCAATAGTAAGGGTGAAGTAGGAGACAAGACTCAGGACCACTGCAATGGTTCAGGTAAAAGAAAAAAGTTTTAGTTATAATCAATGCTCTATAAAGAATCAAATTTTTCCCCAGCTGGACGCTTTCTTATAAAAAAGTTACACTGTGGGTGGTAGGAGTAGGAGAGGACATACAAACAATCTAGTCTGCAGAACACAACTATTGGAATTTTCAACTTTGCAAAACAGTTGGTAGAGTGAAAGAAGAAATAAGGTTCTTGACATACCAGTGTGCAGTAGAATGTACAGACCACCCCTGTTGCCACTACTGCACCCCACAGATCAAATCCCGTGACTGTAAAAAGAAAAAAAGAAAAGAAAATGCATGTATAACTGTGAAACATGTATAATAAAAATATTTCTCAAAAAATCATCAATAGGAAGTGATATTATTTATGGGGCACCTATCTTTCTACCTACTTTTCTACTCCTGCTTAAAACTAGATCCAAATCTCATAAAATGCCCCTAAACAAATGAAGTTTAAAATTTTACTTGGTAAGTTAAATGGAACTAGTTTCTGCCCTTAGAGAGCATACCTGGATCCACCACTGCCTAAATTAAATACATGAAAAAGCATTTATATTGTAATGAAGCTAAGAAACAACATGATTCTGTGAGGTAGTTACCCAGACTGAATGGGGTCAGAAAGTATGTGTCTTCATACTTCAAATAAACACAATATTCTACCAGTCCTTGAAAGACAAGTTGTGCATGTTACTAAGATGAGACCAAGAAAGAGAAAAGTCATATAATTTGCTACCATTTATCTAAGTGGAGGGGCATATTATATTCTTTCTAAATGGAAGAATAGCAACTCTGCCCATATCTGTGATAACCTATATAAAATGGGCCAATTCCTTGAAAGACACAATAGGCTAAAACACTCATGCAAGAAGAAATACACTATCTAAATAGGCCAATAGCTATTAAAGAAATTGAATCAATAATTAAAAACCTTCCAAAACAGAAAGCTCTAGGCCCAGATGGGTTGACTGGTAATTTCTACCAATTTAAGGAAAAAATTATACCAATTCTCTGCTATATCTTTCACAGAATAGAAGAGGGAATACTTCCTAACTCATTCTAAGAAGCCACTATTGCTCTAATGCCAAAACCAGATAAAGACATTACAAGAAAACTACAAACCAATATTTCTCATGAACACAGAAGCAAAAATCTTCAGCAAATTGAAAATTAACAAGTAGAATCCAAAAGACTATAAAAAGAATTATATACCATGACTGAGAGGGATTTATTCCAGGTATGCAAGGCTGGTTCAAAATTTAAAAATCAATTAATGGAATCTATCATATTAACACACTAAAAAAGAAATATCACATGATCATATCAAAAGATGCAGAAAAAACATCTGACAAAATGCAACATCCATTTATTATAAAAACTCAGTAAACTAGGAATAAAAGGGAAATTTCTCAACTTGATAGACTGTGTACAAAAATCCTACAGCCAACATCCTACTTAAGACTGAGAGATTCAAAGCTTTCCCACTAAGATCAGGTCCAAGACAAGGATGTTCCCTCTCACTGCTCCTTTTTAACTGGAAGTTACTGGAAGTCCTTGCTAATGCAATAAGGCAAGAAAGGCAATAAAAGGTATACATATTGGGAAAGAAGAAATAAAACTCTTCTTTTTTCACAGATGACATGATCATTGATGTAACAAAAACTGAAACTAGTAAGTGATTACAGCAAAGTTGTAATACACAAAAGTCAATTGTTTTCCTATATAATAAATTGGCCTCAAATGTGAGTGATATAATTGATAACGTTAAGATGTACCTTGATTCATTTGCAATGACATGGATGGAATGAAAGGGTATTGTGATAAGTGAAATAAGTCACTCAAAGAAAGATAATTATCATATGATCTCACTGATATGAGGAATTTGAGAAATGAGACAGAGGATCATCGGGGAAGGGAAGGGAAAAGTGAAACAAGATGAAATCAGAGAGGTAGACAAACCATAAGAGACTCTTAATTTCAGGAAACAAACTGAGGGTTGCTGGAGAGGGATGGGGTGACTGGGTGATGGACATTGGGGAGGGTATGTGCTATAGTGAATGCTGTGAATTATGTAAGACTGATGAATCACAGACCTGTACCCCTGAAACAAATAATACATTATATGTTAATTAAAAAAAAAAAAAGACAAGATGTACCTTAATTCAAAGCCAGGGCAGAAGCACAACTGGAGTAACTTGGACATGCACACATTGTGGAGTGGGCATGTAAAATGATACAACATTCAGAAAAAATTGTTTTCCAGTTTCTCTTAAATTGTGTACATGAAGCTGCCCTGTACTAGGTTATCATGGGTTTATGTTTAACTACACTGCTTCCAGGCATTCAACCAATAGAGATAAAAATATGTGTCAAAAGCAACTCCTCAGACACATGCTACCAGGATCTGGAAGGAAGACTAAATCTGGTCTTGGTATTGATGAAGATGACGCTACTACTGATGCTGGCAATGTTGCCATAACCAGAGATGTTGCCCCTCAAAGGAGATGACAACATATCACGTATGGAAGAAACAGACTAAGTGCTGCCCCACGAATTATTTGTACATGTATTCAATACTTTATCTTTATTCCCTCCGGTAATATATTTTCTTTTGGGGGGGATAATATATTTCAAGGATGTTTTTCTTTATTTTTGTTAATATTTTAAAAATCTCTATGACATGGCAAGAACTATTTAAGGGGAAGATAAGATTTCTTTGTGAGTGAGATGCTGTGATATTTAGGAACTAAAGCCCAGCTCCTTTTTCATTCTTCGTTCCACACTGGCTTATTTTAATGGAACAAGGTAACATTTGTTGTAAGATGTATGTAAACTAATGTTGACTGTGTGGTCTAAAGTGTTTAGCAATCAGGGCCCCTGGGTGGCTCAGTGGGTTAAAGCCTCTGCCCTTGGCTTGAGTCATGATCCCAGGTCCTGGGATCAAGCCCCGCATCAGGCTCTCTGCTCAGCAGGGAGCCTGCTTCCCCCTCTTTCTCTGCCTGTCTCTCTGCCTACTTGCGATCTCTGTCAAATAAATAAGTAAAATCGTAAAAAAAATAATAATAAAGTGTTTAGCAATCAAGCAGATTCCTTAGTAAGGACCAAATTTTTTGTTACTAAAGTGTTCTGAGCTATACCTTGATGTTTAAAAGAAAAATATTGGTTAAAACAACTTTCACCTTCTAGGATCTGTTTTTTAAATCTTCTATCCCTTATAGTTATCAACTGCATGTACCAGGCACTAGAAACTCATATGTTAAACTGAACCAACTTGATGGGAATAACTATCTATATGGCATGTTTTCCAAAGAAGAGCGTTGTTTAGCAAAATTATAAGCCTATTTAGGTGTGTTGTAAAGCTGCTCAAAAAAGTAACTCAGCAAGTTCGGTGAGTGGAAATGCAGTGTTCAAGTCACATTCTGCTTTAAAAGTTTGTAACAAATGCAAATGAACTTAAAAAAAAAACAAAGCGAGACAAAACAAAACCTGTACAAGAATGATCTTAGTAGTCTTAATTCATAATGGCCTAAAAGTGCCCAATGTTGTTGATAGATAAACAGACTGTAGAGATACAGATGATAAAATATTAGCAATAAACAGGAATGAACTCCTGAAACATGGAGCAACATGAATGAATGTAGCAACATGTAGCAACATGTATGTAGTAACATGAATGAATCTCAGAAATATTTTGTTGAGCAAAATAAACCAGTTACAAAAGAGGTACTACATGATTCCATTTATATAAAATCAAAGAAAAGGGAAAACTAATTCATGGTTGACAAAAAAAATCAGAAAGTGGCAGCTTGGGTTGGCAGGGGAATTTATTATAAAGAAGCACAAGAAAATCTCCTAGGATTAAATGGTGAAAATAGTCTGTATCCAGTTGGGTGGTGGTCACATAACTATGTACAATTGTTAAAACTAGTTCAACTGTACACTTAATTTCTGTACATTTATTGTGTATAAGTTGTATTTCAACAAAAAATGGTTTTTAATTTTAAGAAGCAAGGGGGGGCACCTAGGTGGCTCAGTGGGTTAAAGCCTCTGCCTTCGGCTCAGGTCATGATACCAGGGTCCTGGGATTGAGTCCCACATCGGGCTCTCTGCTCAGGCGTTTCCCCCTCTCTCTCTCTGCCTGCGTCTCTGTCTACTTGTGATCTCTGTCTGTCAAATAAATAAATAAATAAATAATAAAATAAGAAGCAAGAGGGGCGTCTGGATGGCTCAGTTAGTTAAGCATCTGACTCTTGACCTCAGCTCGGGTCTCGATCTCAGGGTTGTGATTTTAAGCCCTGCATTGGGCTCCATGCTAGGTGTGGAGCCTATTTATAAAGAAAAAGATTTTAAAAGTGAGAAAGAGAAATTTATCAAATCAATTAATTGCAACTGCATAAACTTATTTGAGTCCTGATTCTAACAAACACTGAAAAAAAATCAAGGAAAGCTGAACATTGACTTCATATTGATTTTTTTTAAATAATGTTAATATTTTATTTATTTATTTTTTCAAGATTATTTATTTGTCAGAGAGAGAGAGTACAATCAGTGGGAACAGCAGGCAGAGGGAGAAGCAAGCTCCCCACTAAGCTGGGAGCCCAATACGGGATTCAATCCCAGGACTACTGGGATCATGACCTGAGCCAAAGTCAGACACTTAATCAACTGAACCACACAGGCATCCCAAAAATAATGTTAATATTTTAGATATGAATATGGTATATTGTATGTACAAAACACATCCTGGTATGAACTTCCAGTTATAAAATACCTAAGTCACATAGATGTAAGGTACATGACTATAATTAATAATCCTATATTACATATTTAAAAGTTGCCAACAGAGTAAATATTAAAAGCTCTCATCACAAGAAAAAGAGCTTTTGTAACTTTGTATGGAGACAGATGTTAACTAGACATTTGGTAGTCATTTTGCAATATATACAAATCTTAAATCATTACAATATAATACAATGTTATAATTATATCCCAGTAAAAAAATTAGCACATCATTATTTTTAAAAGATACTGAATTCAGATGAAATGATGAAATACTTCAGATGTACAGCAAAATACTCTAGTGAGGGAAACAGAGTGAACTGAAACAAGAGTTGATAATTTTTAGTGTAAAGTATACATTAGAGTTCAATATACTATTTTCTTTTTTCTAGCATATACTTATTTAAAGTTTTCTATATATATTTTTTAAAAGGTAAAATGAAAACGATTGGATGTAGAGAGTGTTAAGATTCATTTCAGTTAAACAAGTTTCTATGGCACATCTGTTGCATACCAAGTTCTATATTTATCTTTGGTCACAGTAATATATGCAATTGATATTCAAGTGGTCACAATTCAGCAGCGTCTTGAGCCCTAACTCCTATGGAATAGCCCAATAAACTGATAAGATCAGAGTCCTTGATTTCTTCATAGATGGAAGACAGTACTCTCTTACTGCCAGAACTGCACTTTAAAACCCTAAGGCCACATCTTTAATTATACTTACTGCCAATAGGTAACTTATGAAGTTTATAAGTTAGCTCTTTACACATGAAATGACTCGATCATGATGTTGGTAATATTGACTTGGAACATGCCTGACATTCAGAATTCAAGAGCATGTTATATAATGGAATATTTTATAATGATACTGTTGTACTTTATAAACTTATGTAATAATTATTATCTATCTTCCATGAAAGCAGGAAATTAGAGTGTGGGTTTAGCAAGGCTTTCCATTTTATATTAACTCCAGGAATTGCATAACATTTTCCCCATCAGAGGACACCTGTACATTTCATAAGGAAGCCTAAAAGATAAACTAACATCTGATTGATAAGAATCCAAAGGATATGGGGTTTTCCGAAAGCCTTTTAAGGATATGACTAACAGGCATCTTTGCCTCAGGAAACTATTCCAGTTCCATGGCTTTTATCCGCCCAAAACCAGAGAGTACAGGAGTATGTCAATCAGCACCATCTTCAAGTATTTGTTTAAAAGGACACCATAGCCATTTCCATTTTGTCACTAGGAGTAAGCTGATATTTCAAATCACACAGATCTCCTTCTCTTGCATTTTGGACAATAATAGAAACGGAAATAAGGAAAGCTCTCTCCCTGACACATTTTATGATGGAGCTGAGCTGAGTAACACAAGAAGCCTCTTGACTAAGGGCTTCCACCAAGGAATAAAGTGCAGCCATTCGTGATTTACACTACAGGGGGCGTTCATTCTGAAGGAGTGGAGCATGGTGGGTTGGCACTTCAGAGATTCACTCCTCAGGGAAGTCGCCCTTCATTAATCATAGATCTTTTGGAGCTATCGATCCAGAAATGCAAAGAAGCTGCTAAACACTAAGCCCATCTTGCTCCCCTCAAGCTGATGCAGGTTACTGGAAACATCCCTCCAACTCCACAACTCCTCAAAGAGAGAATAAGTTCTATTAAAAATGACCCCCAAAATGTGACGGATGTAACTGGTAACTCTAAAATATACCTTGATTCAAAGCCAGGGCAGGGGCATAAATAACAATTCCAGTATACAAAATCTACAAGAAAAAAGAAACAAACTGTATGAATTATAAAATAAATAGTCAATTTTTCTATAACCTCAATAATGAATTAAAACAGTAGTTTCAATATACTTAATAAAATATGTTTGTAACTTGAAAATGTTATTTAAGTGGAGTTGATTCTCCTGTTTGCGGTGTGGTCATAGTTTACAAAAATCTTATATGACCCATTTTGTTAAAATTATGGACTTTTCACATGGTGCTTAGTGCAGATAGTCACTGATCCATTCCCTCAAGCTTGAAATCAACTCTCCTCAATCTAAACAATTAGGAAGAAAAAACACAAGTTTAAAAGGGGATGGTTCCCCATTCACATGATTTCAAACTATTATTAATCACTGAATGATTAACTGGGAAAACAGTGAAAAGTTTGTAAACTGGTTTTAAAAAGTTTTCATGCTCACTAATTAAACAAAAGTATATATTTACACTAAAAAAATCTTGAAAGCCAAGAAAAATCATATTCCATCTTTTCTATATATTATTTTTCACTCATACACCTAACAAATATTTATTAATCCAGGGTATGATAAATATGGTCTTTTTTCTCAGAACATCATTTCCACTGCATTTGATCTTTCAAATGTATCATATATATTCTATGTGGTTTTTTTCCTATAAAATGTATTATGGTTCTATGATTCTCTATGAGTCCATGTTTACTCTATAAAAACATATTATGAAAAAAGCCATATTACAGTATTTGAATAATTGATTATATTACATGGGTAGATCAACGGAAATAAGTCCTTCAAGTGGGAGATGCTAAAGTTTTCTTCTTTTTTGCAAGAAGGAACCAGACTTCCACAGTCATTATCCTGACCAAGTTAAAGATTTGAAAACAAGGCCATGGACCATCTTCCTAACACCTGTTCCCCACTTTTCATTTCAGTAGGCATTTCTAAGAATTATACAAAGAGGGTCTGAACAGTTGGCAAATGCAAGCTACCAGCTTCAGTTCTTTGTCAGGATCTCTGCCAGACCCCAAAGGGCTCCTTTCTTTTACCAATGACCAACCTAAGTTATGCAATTTACAGAAACATAAAATGGAGTCAAGTTAAACAATTTACAAAGGCTCTCTGTGACACTGTTGCAAATGCTTCGGTAGCTTGTGATTGGAGAAGTGAATTACAAATAAGGATGAGAATGAAAAGTCCTTCCTGGACTTCCATGATCAAACCCATCCCTACAGCACTCAGCTGCCAAGAGGAAGATGGATATAAATGAAGAGACTATAATCATGACAAGCCTCCAGCAACTTGGATGAAGAATGGAAAGTAATGACAAATGTTTTCCCTTTTTAGTTTACTCCTATTTTCAACACTTCTTTTTTGTCTTTCATGTGCTTACCAAATAAGTTTAGCCCAGGTGCCTTGGCTGAAAACATTTTAGACAACAGAAGGTAAAGCAAACTAAGGGAGAGTGACTTACTGTTTGAACAATGAAGAGGACTGTTCCACAGAGACGGACACATTTGTTAAACCGGAGCTCTAAATACTGTTTCCAAAAAAGGAAGAAATGGTTAATATGTGAAAACTTTATATACCTTTTAAAAAATGATCTGCTTAAGAAGTAAAGGGGGTTAGAAATTCAAAACAACTTCAGTCATCAAAAAGAATGAAATCTTGCCATTTGCAACAATGTGGATGGAACTAGAGGGTAAAGTGAAAGAAGTCAGTCAGAGAAAGACAAATACATGATTTCACCCATATGTGGAATTTAAGAAACAAAACAGATGAACATAGGGGAAGGGAAGAAAAAATAAAATAAGATAAAAACATAAAGGGAGGCAAACCGTAAGAGACTTTTAACTATAGGAAATAAACTGAGGGTTGCTAGAAGGGAGGTTGATGGGGAGATGGGCTAACTGGATGATGGTCATTAAGGAGGGGACGTAAAGTAATGGGCACTGGGTGTTATATGCAGCTGATGAATCACCAAATTCTACCTCTGCAATTAATAATACACTCACTATATGTTAACTAAATTGAAATTTAAAAAAATTTAAAGCAACTTCGTAAGTGATTTGTATTCTGTATTCCTATATTACTACTATTTTTCTTTACATATACTAAAATTGGCTCTTGCTTTAAAGTACAGTTCATTGGATTTTCACATATACAGGATAGTTCCATCACCCTCAGAGAACCTTGTTATGTTGTTCCTTTACGGTCAAACTGTTCCCTAAACCCTAAACCTTGGCAATCACTGATCTGTTCTCCATCCCTAGTTTTGGCTTTCCCAGAATCTCACCTAAGTGGATTATATTCTGCAACTTCAAAATGAGTGAAGTGCTCTTTTCCCCTTTCTCTTGCTATCTACTTCAGATATTTCCCTGATTCACTTGGGAATCAGCCCTTTCCCACTGCAGGCAATTGTGATGGACTTGTCCATCAAGGTGTCCTGCCTCTTTTGACTAAGGGATGGTCACATGACCCAAGCTCAGCCAATCAGCTCCTCTCTCCAATGGGTATTTGGCTCTTGGACGTATAATATAAAGACAGAAAATGACTGAAGCAGAAGCAGACTGATCTAACAGTGGCCTGAAGAGGTTTCACTGGCTTCTGTCCTTTTCACAGCTTATTCATCCAGCTTTTCACTCTGTTCTATGGGCTACCCCTATATCCTCCCAAATAAATTATTTTTTACTTAAATTGGCCTAAGTCAGTTTCTGTTCAGAGCCAACAACCCTGCCAATTTTTCATACTCTCCTTGGTATCTGCTATATCTTGAAATATAGTCAGCTCATCTCCTATATTATATGTCATAATATAGAGTTAGAATCATAGAATTTTGAAGCTGGAAAGAAGCTGGGGTCTCAAACATTCTTCAACTTGAATACTATTACTATATAATATTACTATACTAATACTAATACTATTACTCACGTAGAGGGAATTTTAAAGCTGAAAACAGTCTTCATACCAGAAAAAAAGGAGGAAGGAAAAACTGACATTAAGTAATAGTCTGGAGAAATGACACCATATATTTTTGCTCCATAATCACAGGTAACATTTATAGAGTACTTGCTATGTCCTCCCAACAACTCCCTGAGGCCAGAACTACCATTAGAGGGGAGGGCACTGGGGCTAAGAGATACCAGAGTTGCAACCTTATAGCTCTCAAAGCCGCAATGCAAGTCTAGGACTATTTAATGCCTAAATCTGGACAGGGAACAATTATATTATTCCAAATAAGTAAGTAAGGAAACCGACCATAGCTTTGAGTAGGTGGCACTGACACATAGTAGGACCTTCCAAAACAACTGACAGGTAAAAAAATATGCAACACATTATAGTTTTAGGGAGGAGTTCCAGCCCTCAACCCAGTTCTACTTGTGACTGCACAAGCTTGGGGCAGTCACTGGAGATCTTAGGCTCCTCTTCTTGAAATTGAGGATCACAGTATTAATTCTTTTCCCTCTTACTTTGCAGGAGTTTGGAGACAATTGAATGATATAAATGGATGGGGAAATATTATAAACTGTAATTCAAAACTAAGACATTAAGAAGTTGGATCTAAATCCACAGATTAATATAATTCACAATTATAAGCATACATACATATTCACAAATAAATATAAATGAATAATAAAGACAAATATAATCCAAAAATACATATTTTACACACACACACATACACACACACACACATATATGTACACACACAGATACACACACACACACACACACATATTCTGGATAACTCAGATCCAACACACAGATTACATGGATCCAGAAAGATCCTGAAAAAGTGGGGAATGAAACTGGATTCCTGCATTTTACTTCTTGTCTGTGGGTCTGGAATTGGTGAAACACCTATCAGGCCTATACTTTGAAGGCAGGGATAAATAGATAACAAAAATGCTTCTGAACAGCCAATTCTAATAGAGAAATGTAAGCAGGAAGAGATTTCACATTTGAGCTAGAATGCCAAGGTATCCCTCGATGCTGGACTTCTTATTCTGTATAGGTGGTTCCACCTCTCAGCACAAAACATGCAAAAAATACAAGAAAGTGTTTGCTATGGCCAACTGTCAGGGACAAGGCATGTTATCTAACTTCCCTGACCCCTACTGCTGGGCACCCGTGAGTCATGAACACCCCCAGCATGCCCAAACCCTTGGTGTTTGGTTCTACTTCTCTTGTTCTCTATGCACTCTTTTAAGCCCTGCCTGGGTTACCACTGCTTTCAGAAGCAGACTTACCAGAGCTTTCAGAAGCAGACAGTAGGCACCACTGCATAGTCCCAGGCATGTGTTTACTTTGCCTCACACTCTCTTATGTAGCTTAATTTTGTCTGCCAACATGGGGCTCTCATAGTACCCCCCTCATAAGGATTGTTTAGAGTATTGATTCAGATAATGTATGTGTATAAAACATGCAGCCCAGTGCCACACATGTATTAAACATTTGGTAAACGTTAACTTTTTGCCATTTTTGGCTGGAACCCTGCTAACAGCCTCCACCACGGGAAATGTGTTGGAAATCTGTTTCTGGTTGAGTTAATGTTGCTGCCCCTGAGGAGGCATGGGTCAGTGCTTATTAGAGGAGCATTCCTCTCTAGGGACTGAAGTCCTCTTGCAAGGTTCTTGAAACCCCTTCTGAGTTCTAGAGTTGGTTAACTACACATCAGAGCTCATGGATGCAAACTGCCTAAGGGCTCATCAGGTAACATATACCAGTGGATCAGCCAGGTGTTCATATATTAAAATGTTGAAATAGTTCTCATATCCACTAAGAAATATGTCATCTCATTTCTCTCTCAAAACCAAGTACTCCCTTCACCCCTGTCCCTTTTCTCTTTCACATTTTTGAGGAAGACAAAAATGCAGATAAAGATTTCTCTATCCTAAGAAAGTAACCATGCACCTACAATGATGAGGCCTCAATATAGAAACTGACAGGAGGTGAAAGCAATGGCCTTAAAACGAGTTCCTGCATCACAGGGAATGTGAGCCCAGTGTCACCACTCTTCTAAATTTTTTTAAAGATTTTATTTATTTTTTTGACAGAGAGAGAGTGAGAGCACATAAGCAGAGGGAACATCAGAGGGAAAGGGAGAAACAGGCTCCCTGCTGAGCTGGGAACCTGATGTGGGGCTCAATCCCAGGACCCTGGGTTCATGACCTAAACCAAAGGCAGACACTTAACTGCTTAGCCAACTGAGCCACACAGGCACTCCCAGGCTTCTAAATTTTCAAAAGAAACTAGAATCTGGAATTTTATTTGACTTCTCAACATCAGAAATGCTAAATTAATTTTCTTTCAAAACACCATAAAGGTCAAAAAAAAAAAAAAAAAGAAAGAAAGAGAAAACAGTTTGGTCTGGGGAAGCCAGCTTTGTTACCTTTGAGCAAAACAGAGAAATTCTATCCTCCTCACTTCTGGGATGATGACTGAACTCTCCCAAACACAATGGCCAGTGAGTGGAAGGCATGCTGCCCCAGGGGTGCCTCGCCCTGGATGGCGTCACTATAGCCCAGGCGTTTGTCACCAACACTTGTGCCATTGAGGCCCTTTAGCCAGCACCAGTTGAACCAGCCTCACTAGGAAACCACCTTTCCAGTAGCTCTGGATTAGAGCACTCTGTACCTAAACTCAAGCACTGAGGAATGAGTGTAATCACCCTTTGGATCATGACCTGTGAAAGAGGAAACTCTGCCCTGTTTAACCATGTTGCTCATGGGACAGTACCTGGGAAAAGGAGACCAGTGAGGGCACTGAACAGTTCCCTCCACACCCCAGAACTTTTATGCCCCACCCCCAATCCCGCACTCCCATTCAACAGCTCTTTAAACTAAACCAAACATTCCCCATCTTTGCAAAGCCCTTTCCTGCAGACAACTGAAGAACACCTATAACCAGCGGAGCTGTGCGCCAGGAAAGATCATTTTCCTTAATCATCTTTCCAGATACAGAGAAGGTAGGCCTGTTTGATAACCTTGCAGCCAAGTCTTCCTAGTGACCCCAAAACAACCACCTCTGCCCCTACCACCACAAATATTTATGGTCAGTGTTCGTCCAGCACTCACCCTGCTCCAGACACTATTCTGAATGCTATATTTGAATCATCTCATTTAATCCTCCCAACAACTGGATAAGGTAGTTGGTATCATTTTCATTTTAAGATTAAAAAAAAAAAAATAGGGCACAAAGGTTAAATAAATCACCCAAGTTTACCCAGCTAGTAAATGTAGAATCTGGTCTCAAATGCAGGTACTGAGACCAGTTACAGCACCTTAACCATTGGGGAATCCGTCTCTCCAGGGAACATGCCTGTGTGGAAGCAAGGAGGGGAGAGCGCAAATTCTCCTCCAACTTTCCTGGAGAAGTGAATGGTGTCTGGGAACCTGGGACAAGGCCATTCCTTTCAAGGAGGAGGGGCTGAGACTTGAACACTTGCCCTCCCCAGGATAAAAAGTATTAAAATCTTTCCCCTTGACTCCGAATCAAAGATACTAAAAGCAGAAAGGGCCTTTGTGAGCCCTAGTCCAAATCATCCCGTTTACTTTGGAAATTTCTCTTTTTCACTGAGCTCATGCAAGTAACCCCAAAGATTCTGTCGCCGTCACTGGACAACTCTCTCCAAAAGGGGACCTCAGGGGAGGTCACGGACCTGGACAGGGAGGGATTTCGACATGGTGCGGAGTCGGCCATCAGGAAAATCCCTCCAAGACCCTGAAAAGCCCTGCCCCTTTTTCTCCCCAGCGTCCCCTTTCCCCTTTTTACCTCGTAGGTGCTGGTAATTCCCAGTTTGTAGAACACCGGCAGGAAAACCTCCGCGCTGATGGCCACCACAAAGAAGTAAGTGATGGCAAAGATGCTGAATATGGCCCCAAAACGGTACACCTCCGTGGGGGTGCCCAGGACGGTGACTGCCGACATGAAGCTGGCGGTGAGGGACAGCGCCACCGGCACGGCAGTCATTCTGCGGCCGCCCATCAAGAAGTCCTTAGAGGTCTGCTGGCCACCCCCGGCGAAGGCGTAGTAGATGCCAATGGCAGCCGAGATGAGCAGCATCCCGGCGAACACCACGTAGTCCCACACCACGAAGGTGCCGATGCCCCGCGGCGGGTCCATGGTCGCTCGGTCGTGCGGCTGCCCTGGCCCTGGGTACAAACTGTGGCCCTGCGACGCGCTGCCCCGGCCCGCGCTTTACCTCTGCGGCCTGGCGCTCTCTACTTATTCCCCGCGCCGCCGCCGGCGCGGCGGGCGTGGCGCCCGCGGGGATTGGAGGCGTCCTCCAGGTATCCGTCCCCCAGCTGGCCGCAAGCGGCCCGGAGAAGGTGGGAAGGCGCCGTCAGTGGCCTCTGCGCCCAGGGGAGCCAGCGCAGCTCCTCTAAGTGGGACTTCGGGGCGGGGGGAGGTGGGTGGGCACCTCCGCCACGCTAAACCCTCACCTGGTGCAGGGCTCGGGGTGGCCGCGGACACCTGGGAGGAGTCTTCAGCTGCGTTCCGCCGCGAACTGACAGGGGGTCTCTAGAGACCGCCTAAAGGTTACCAACTGGCACCTGCGGGAACGCACCTTTTAAATAAGCGGGCGACCTATGCGGGGTGTGGGTCGAAAGGTATTTGTCACGCCTGCACTTTCAGCTTTCCAGTTCAACAATCCGGGTCCTTAGGAGAAGATACACCTAGAGTTACTAGATTGCCTTACTTGATAAATTAATGGGCGATTCTGGTGACAGTGCGCAGTGAGTTGAGCGTCCAGTTCCTAGACAGGTAAGCATTTACAAAGGACAGGAAGAAATCTGTGCTATTGGTGCCTGCCTTTTCATTCAATAAACATTTCTGATCCCCGGTAGTCTCTCCTAAACAAGACAGTTTCTATAATATTAATAATACCTACTATTTAAGGAAACTTACTCTTTAATAATAATACCTTAAAAATAATACCTACTATTTAAGAAGTTCTATGTGACACAGAACATGCTTGGCACCTTATACATTAACTAGTGTAATTCTTTCAATTACCCTTGAGGTAGGAATAATCTCCATTTTTCAAATGAGGGAACTGGCATAGGAAGATGAAAACACTTGCCCAAGGAAATGGTGGCAGGTAAGGTTTTGATCTCAGAATTTGTTCTTCAAATCACAATACTATATTTTGTACAGTTCATGTAGATGTTAAATGTAGATATAAATATGTACATTTAAGTGAAGACACTTGAAAGCAGATGGAAAACAAGATCATTTCCAGTATCAGTCCTTGGGTCATATTTTAACTGGCTTGTCTTGAAATATTACAAACAATACATGAGTCAGACTTGTAAAGCAATGTGACTCCAGGTTTTTCTTGTAAAATAGACCCTCCAGTCAAAAGTACCCTGGCATAGGTACTTTTCAGGCCACCTTGTTCATTGTCATACATCTGCATAATTTACCAGGTGATTCTTGGTAAACAATCCACAGAATGCGTTTAGCCCAACCCACTATGTGAAGGAAGAAAGCTATTTCAGATTTTATGTTTTGTGAGCTGGCATTATTTGTATAACATTTTCAAAGGGAACTAAAGAAGGAAATAGAAGCTAAATCCAAGCAATGCAATCGTTTAAACAAATATGTGGTGTGGAATTATGTCCCAACTGTGTAAAATTTGCTATCTTTGCACTTATGACTCTCTTGGACAAAGACAGCATTTTCTCCTGTTCTTACTGCCTGGCATTAAAACTCACCAGGAAACATCATCTCCTAATCCCACCTGCTTTACAACCAGCTATACTCTTTCACCTACCTTAGTCCTCTTAGTATGTTTATACTCATTTGTTGGCCTTCCTGGTGGTATAGTAGTGCAGTTGTTTTGATCAAGGCTTGTAATGTAGGAGTATTTTATGGATTCCATGAGTCCAAAAGCAGGAACTGGAAAGCCATTCTGCATACTGCTTCATTTTTTTCCCTGTTTCTCCAGACATGTTCTCTGCGTTGCCACAGGCACATGGTCAAAAATGCCCTTAATTCAGTGGAATGCAGAGACCAATTAGTGTCTTTGAATTCTAATTCTAAATCCCTGGGAGAAGAAATCCTTCTGGGGTAGCTTTGGTCACACGTCCCCAGACCTCTAATCCAATCATCCCTGGCCAGAAGGGCAGGGTTCTCATTGCGGGCTGCACAGATTCACCCTGACAGTAGGGAAAGGGGAATAGTTCTCCACATAGGAGGGTGGTAATGTCTGCAAAGTGTCTCCTCTATTAAATGTCCGTGTCATTTTACTATCTCCTGTGGGTAGAAGATAAGCTCCTTGGGAAAAGGGACTGAGCTTGCCTATCTGTGTAAACCCCCAGAACCTAGTTTGTTGCCTAAAAAAATATGCTAAACCTACTGTATTGATCCTACCTTACAATGCTTATTGGCATCCAGAATTTCCCCCTAAACTTCTAAAAGTGAAATTTGGAAATCTGATAGTGATCCTATTGAATCCTGAATCTAGATTACTCATATGCTTACCTACGTTTTTGAGAGGAAAAGTCAAGGAGTGTACTACCAACATAATTCTCTGCTGTCTGCCTATTCTTTACCTTGAAATCACAACCACAGTTACTAGAGAATATCCTTCTGAATTGGCAAAGGAAGATAAGAGCACAACGAGCCTTCCTCTACAGAGTACTTTCTTAACATCCTTCCACCTAGGAACATTGCGTTAAGTTGGAAATTTCAGGTTAGTACAATGGCAAATGTCATCACCTGGCTTAAGCTGGGAAAGATGTCTATGAATCAGTACCTAGCATCTACACCCCCACACACATATCTTCTTTTGTTTCTTTCTTATCTGGGTCCCACTCTAACCAACTCAGTGTCATCAATGCTGAGTTGTAGTACTAGGTACTTTTATTAAGTAATGGGAACAAGCAACCTAATAGATTTAGTAGGAGAAGTTTTATCTAATGTCCTGGTATGCTTCCAGCTAAATAATAAGGGCTGTGAAAAGCATCATATTTCTCCTTCTAGCAAAACTGCCATAGCAGCTCAGTAAGGCCAACTTTCCTACTATCATAGCCCAGACCCTTAGCCTGGTTTTCTGGCACAGATATTTCCCTCCTTTTGTTACTTAATTTTTGTTGTCTTCACCAAGTCTCAACATTCCCTGCATATGTATCTTTTATTGCATGTAATCTCAAATATTCTTTTGGATATGGAAAGTTATACACAAAGAAGGAAAACCATGTACCAAAATATATTCCTTGTGCATACCGCAGTACCTCCTAAATCACCACTAACATGGCATCAAAGGAGTAAAAAAGGTGTCAGCCCATAAGGACAGAGAGAAAGCAATATGAGATGATTGCCAATAAAATGTTTGCCACAATTTGGGAAGAATGAATGCAGAGAGACAAGTGGAAAGTGACACAGGTTTCAGTTTTCCCCCCTTGTGAAATACCTTAAGGAGAGGAAGCTGACAAAGCAATTTGTACAATAATACTCCTGGGAAAAGTCAGAAATCAGAGGGGCCATATACTTCTAAAGGTGAAGTATGAGGTAAAATGAAAACCAGAAGACTCATATAAGGAGTGCTTTGGGACTGGCAGTCAAGTAAGTACCTCTCCTTCTTCCTTGGTGGAAAACTACAGACACCTTCTGGAGAGGTTAAAGCAAAAAAACTCTGGCTCAGGACACCTGTCACAGCTAACCACTAGAGTGAGGCATTTTCCTAGAAGACAGGGATTAGAGAAAGTGTCTACTGAATGGCAAGACACCCTCCCCATCCTTTTCCTACTAGGCTCCCAGCATGAGGACTTTGTATATGTTCTCAAGCAGGACTGGAGAGGATTTCTTTCTGAAGAAACCAAGCAGCCCAAGAGAATGTTGGCATTTAAGGGTTCTATAAAAAAGCAGGGCCCCCACCTGACCATCCTAAAGTGAGGCCCTCCCATCTATGAGTTCAACCTCCACACACACTTTCCTGCTGGCTTCTACTGTCTCTCTCCTTAATATGAATGGATAGTCAGGGATCACTATCCCTTACAGAAAAACTTTTTTTTTTATTTTTTTTAGAGATTTTATTTATTTATTTGACAGAGAGAGGGAACGCAAGCAAGGGGAGAGGAAGAGGGAGAAGCAGGCTTCCCACTGAGCAGGGAGCCTGACGTAGGGTTTGATCCCAAGACATTGGGATCATGACCTGAGCTGAAGGCAGACGCTTAATGACTGAGACACCCAGGTGCCCCCACGGAATAACTTTTTGCAGGAAAGACCGACACAAAAACAAACCATTAAAAAAAAAAAATTACACGGCGCCTGGGTGGTTCAGTCAGTTAAGTGTCTGCCTTCGGCTTATGTCATGATCCCAGAGTCTGGGGATGGAGCCCCGAATCAGGCTCCCTGCTCAGCAGTAAGTCTGCTTCTCCCTCTCCTTCTGCTCCTCTCCATTGTTCTCTCTCTCCCAAATAAATAAAATCTTCTAAATAAGAAAGAAACATTAAAAAAAAAAGAGTCAATGAAGGAAGCAAAGGGAAACCCTAAAAATCCAGAGTTACTCTGAGAATACAAAGAAAAATCCAGTTTTTCTGAGAAAACAAGGAAAATTCTTCTTGCTGTGAAATGCAAAGAGTTTGTTGTTAATTTCATGGAGGATAAGAATGTGCTTTTGGAAATCAAAATATATAGAAGCAGGAATTAAGACTTGGTAGAAAGTCAGAAGATAAAGTTGAAGAAACCCTCTATAAAGCAGAACAAAAGTATAAAGAGATGAAAAATGGGAGCTAAAAGAAAAATTTAGAAGTTCAATGTTGGGAGTCTATAACATGACTAAAGGAATTCTAGAGAGAGAATGGAGGAAAGGAAATTATCAAAGGAAAATTCAAGAAAATTTCCCCACATCTTAAGAACATGATTCTTTTTTTAAAATTTAAATTCAATTAATTAACATATAATGTATTATTGGTTTCTGAGGCAGAGGTCAGTGATTCATCATTCTTGTATAATATCCAGTGGTCATTATATCACATGCCCTCCTTAATGTCCATCACCCAGTTACCCCATCCCCCTCCACCTCCTTCCCCTCCAGTAACCCTCAGTTTGTTTTCTGTAATTAAGAGTGTCTTATGGTTTGTCTCCCTCTCTGATTTTGTCTTGTTTTATTTTTTCCTCTCTTCCCCTATGATCCCCTGTTTTGTTTCTTAAATTCCACACAGGAGTGGAGATCATATGGTAATTGTCTTTCTCTGATTGAATTATTTCACTTACCATAATACCCTCTACTTCCATCCACGTTGTTGTAAATGGCAAGATTTCATTTTTTTTATGGCTGAGTAGCATTCCATTGTGTATATATACCACATCTTCTTTA